CGCGCCGCGGGCGGACATCCCTGGGGTGCTGGGAACGCGGGGCGGCTTTGCACAGGGTCTGGTGCAGAGGCCCTGCTGCGGGGGAGCTTTGCTGAAGCGGCACTAAAGGCTGCGTGACCTCTTTCTCCAGGCAGGAAAGAAAAGAGTAACTTGTTTATATCAGCTTTGTCACCAGCGTGGCCGTAATGCATGTGTGCGAGGGTAGCACAGACAAAAGTTGTCACTTCTGGCTGTCGCCGTGGCAAGTTCTGGGTTGCCTACCCCTTCACTGGGCTAGGAGGCACGCCTCCAGCACAGCTTCGGCTTTGCTGCTGCTGCTGCTGCAAATCTCAGCTGATCTTTGAAGAGATGAGAGCAAAGAGCTAGAAGAGAGGAAATAAAGCAGAGGAAGAGGCAGATGGGAAGGGTGACAACAGCTGGATTTTTAGTCTCTGGCCTCAATCGTTCAGAATTCAGGCAGTGCTGAGGGGAGTGGCAACATAGTTTTCCTATTTCTGTTTATTTTTTCTTGCTGCGATGTCTTTTCTTTTTAGAGCAAGGGCCAAGTGGTACCATGATGGCTTGTAGGCATCAAGAAGGTAGTAATACCCATTAATGTGCAGACTACATGAATGATCAGTTCGCCCATCAGCAGTTACCCTCCTGCAGTCATACAACATCTGAGAAGAGTTACGGGCTCACTGAGTTACATTTAGGATACTTGACATAGCAATATACAATCATTTCTGCTTGTCTAGGGGCCTCAAACATCGTATGTCATGTTTTATATAAATTAAGTCTATGGCTTATGTTAGTCTTTCCCGCATTTGTTGATTTCCATTAACTTTTTGACTTACTGGTCAGAAGTTTTGCAGAGAAGCTGAGCTATGTTTTAACATCATGTTGAGGCAGGGCCATACCATCCCCTAAAGAAGACAAGCCAGGTACCCTGACCCTTGTAGATAGATGCTTGCCTGGGCTGGAAATAACAAATTGGTTTGGAAGGTTAAGATAAAAAGAACTTTGCAATCATTTATTACTCCATGGCATCATTAGTGCAAAGCAAGAGACATGCATATCTGGTCAGTTGATGATGTTCTTGGCCCTTATGCTGCTTTTGCCTATACCGGTGTCCAACAGAAAAAAGAACAAAATGTTTTGTCAGAAAATCCCTGCAGGCAGGCTGTCACATTTCCTTTTTTATTCTCATTTACTGCAGCCAAATATTGAGCGTGGTGAATTGAGCCTTGAGCTGTTGGTAAGGATTGGTTTGGCTGTGGAAGGGCTCCATGTTTAAGAATAGAACAAAGGCCTTAATAGCAGAATAGCAGTGTTTAAATGTGTAGGCAAAAATATCTGTGATGCTATTACATCTTGTTGAAAAGACACTGAGATTGTTTCCTTTATCTTGTGGTAGCACTGCTGCAATAGTTGGCCTTCTTTTCAAAGTCTGGCTTGCATTATGTTTGTTTTTAAGGAGGATAATCACTATATAGGCTATTTCCAGCTTTGGAGGCCTGCAGTTGCTTAATGGACCAAAGGCAGCAGATCAAGTGAAGCTATGTTTGATTAAAATACATCCGCTGGTGGTGAGTAGACAGAGCGAGAACCACCTGACAGCTGTATTAATTGTTGCTTCTGTTTCAGGGAAAGCTGACAGCAAGAGAACGAATTCTTCTGCTGTTGGACCCTGACAGTTTTGATGAATATGACATGTTTGTGGAACATAGATGTTCTGACTTTGGGATGGACTCTAATAAGAATAAGGTATTTTTATTACACATAACTCTTTATTTCTTTGTCCTCAGCTGTTTAGCCAGCCAACTGTTTGAAAATAAGCTCTTCTGTTCACATGTAGTTTCTTTTATTTGTTTCGTTTTTTTGTTTTGCAGATTTCCTTTTATTACTCTCAGTTTCCATTTAACACCTTACACGGTTTACTTTTGCATTGTCTAAACTTGATACCTTTTTTATAAGGTCACCTGTTTGGTTCAAATACCTCCCTGGATATTGTCTTAGAGTTGTATTTTAAATAATGGCGGCTGCAGAGCTTTTTAGTTACAACTTTGTCAGTCATGTCAGATACGAAGAACAAATACAGGTAGATACTTCTGCTTCCCTACAGGTAACGTTAGTTACAGGATGAAATAACTCAGATCCATATTTATGCCTACCAAACTGTAGAGTCATAAGATCCTTCAGGGCCATTAAGTCTCATGTTTGGAAATTGAAGCATTCATGCTGGTCTCTTAGCAAGTTGCAATCTGCTTGCTTATGCAGTTTTCAGATATATGGCCATGTATCCTAAACCAACATGGTACATGATGCTCATCATGTAGAGGGAAAATCTGTGGCTCCCCAGTCTCTCACCATAACACTGATGCCTGGTAAATGACAACATGGGAGGAATATTTTGTTGTGATTTAATACAGAAAAGACAAACAAGCATGCTGGGATGTGTAGGTGGCTGGAGCAGATCACGGAATCATAGAATCATTTTGGTGGGAAAAGACCTTTAAGATCATGAAGTCCAACTACAAACCTAGCACTGCCAAGTCCACCACTAAGCCATGTCCCTAAGCACCACATCTACACAGCTTTTAAATGCCTGTTCACTGTGAATCTTCTATAGCAAAAGGCCCTGTTGCCTGTGGAGTGTTCTACTTTGGGGTGTGCTGAGAAGCTGCTCCATGTGTGCTGCTGCCCCATGCTGCACGTGACTACAATTTCTGTTTATGTGGTTATTAAACCACTTCATTAGTTCTCATTCCTTTGAGTTGCACAGCTGCGTCCTATGGATGAGGGAGGGATCACCAGGCTTCTCCCATGAGCAGCTGGGGCATTGGGAACTGGCAAAGGTTGTTTTCATTTTAGTAGCCAGGAGATTGATCAGAGACTTGGTGCTGGGAAGGATGTCATGCTAGACCTTCTCCCCTCTTGCTGAGTGTAGGAGCAAACATCTTTTCTTCTCAAAGTAATTTTTCACTCTGTTCCCCAGAAAACTGAATTAACTGCTGTGTTGCCTTTCATTGTGTTACTCAACGCTGCATCCCACAGTGCTGATGATAAATTGCTGTTTCTAAAGATAGGAGGAGCAGTGAAGTCCTGAGACTGACAAGAGGGTTAATTTTTTCATTGTCCTTCAGAATTCACCTTTCAGTGAGCTGCAGATTGTGTTTATAGAGCAGTTTAACAACAGATGACGTAACTGTGGCCAGTGAGCTGGAATATTAGTTTAACATTGAATTTCTCTGAGTTCGTGGAATTTTCTTAAGGTAGGATGAGACTTGTACTCACTCTGTGGGCTCCTTGGGATTTCAGGAGTCATCTGCAGCAGACAGTGGCTGGAACTACTGTTTCCAGCTGCTTTGTGTGCCAGGAACTAAGAGTTGGTAGCAGTCTGGTGCAGCCTGAGAAAAGTCTCTAGGCTGGTATGACCTTCCCAAGAACAGATCACCTCGAGCATAAATTGCCCTTAGAGTGCACAGTATACTTTTTTTTTTTTTCCGCTTTCCTAAATGCAAAAGTGTTTAAATGCCTGAAACTCTTTTATGACTGCCCAGTAAAGTTCCTTTTCTACTGTTGTCTTGAAAGACTTATATATACTTCCTTTACTAAAAAGTGAGACAGCATAGATAACCAGATGCTAAGATTCACAGGCTCCTTTTCCTGTTCCAGCTCTTTCTTCTTCCCTTATTTGCAGGGTAAAAGGTGGGACATTGAAGTATCTGAGGTGCCTGTAACTCTATTTTTTTACTTTTTTTGTTGTGCTTGTTACCCCCCTACTCCGTATCACCACCTCAGGAAAGGTTTGTGTGCTGTGTCCATTCCTTCAAAAACATCAGCTAGTCCTAATAAAAGGTATATCCTGTCTCTGAGAACATGATTTTCCTTAACTCCAGATGTGCTGAAATTTGAAGGGAAACTGCAAAATTCAGTAATCTTTACATTAATACAAAACTAATATGTGATACTACCTCTAGTTTTCCTTTACAGGGCTGGAGGAAATCTTTGTGAAGCCCTCACTACAAACATGAAAGACCAGTACTCTCAGAGAATCAGTTTTTGCTTTGACTTAGTGGATGTCATTGCTACTTTGATTTTCTTAATTATTATTTTAATTAATTAATTTGCTTTTCAATGCAGTATCCTGGAGACAGTGTGGTGACTGGCCGTGGACGGATTAATGGAAGACTGGCTTATGTTTTCAGTCAGGTATGGTTTTGCTTGTTGTTTTTTAAATGGCATGAACTTATTCTTTGAAATAGCATAAACTTATTGTTTGAAATAAACTCACAGTGGTTCAGTGTGGCTGTATAGTAATGTACCTGTTTACCTTCTGCCAATTAGCATAAAATAGATGTAGCATCCCGTGGGAGGAAGCAGGGCATCTTCCAACAAGAAAAAGCGAAAAGCCTTTCTAAAAACTTTGTTGGATGAGGGATGCAGCTGTGGATAAGGGTGAGGAGAAACGAGTGATGAATGCAGAGCCAGTGGGAATGTCTTGAAAAAACAAACTGTTATTACTTCGTCATAATTGGATGTTGATACGCTGAGAGACTGGAGGAGCCCCCCAGAAATGTGTTTTTAATAACCAAAAAGTAAATTAAAGGAGAAGGGAATTGATGGGTGTGTGTGGATAAGCTCCTGCAGGCGTGTGGAGACCCATGAGTGTCAGTGGAGGGCTTTGCGAGTTCTGAGAACCATCTTCTGAGTTTCGAGCTGCAGAGTGGGGGCTGTTTGCTGGAGATGTCATCTGGGATTGCAGTGAGTGGAATTCATGATAGAGGGCACTTGAGCAACCTTGAATTGTTTCTCAGGTTTGAACTCTGATTAATTGAAGGGATTGTGATATATAGTATACAAATAGATAAAATATACTTTCTATGGTAAAATATACTTTTTATATAAAAATATTTTAGAGGAAACTCCATAGGTAGAGATTTATCTTGGTTAGTCTTAACACAGTGAAAGAAAGGCTTTCTTTCAAATCAGTATTAACTGCCTCTCTGTTCTGGGCCACAAAGTAGCCTTTGTTCAATTTGCTGTCATGGCCAACATGACTGTTGCTGTGTGACCTTGGAGCAAGTAGTACACCCTGCCTTTTTTATCTTGGATATGTAGTTCTTCCAAGGAAGGACACTGTTATGTGGGCCTGAACATAAGATAGGAGCTGAACACAGACCTTAATTTTAGAAGAACACAAGTAGAGGGCAGTTTTTATATTAAAAGCATTTAAATGTGCTCCTTCATGATATAGCTTTCTCTCTCTTTTTTTTTTTTTAAATATGTTTATATTTAAAGACCTATTTCCAATCCAAATTGAGATGCCACCTGAGATGTTCCTTCCTTTTTGGTTCAGCTGCTAGTTGTAGCCATGCTGTTCTCTGTTCACACAGTTTTTAGGGCTTCTTTGAGAGTAAGACTCAGTAGGAATGCATCAGAGAAGCTCCCCAGAAGTTGGTTCTGGGCTCTCTTGGTGCCAGTAGGTGTCAATATCCCCTTTCTCTTCTGGATCAGTCCCTGGGCCTTGTGTTGTTCAAGATCTTACTGCTTACCAACAGTCAATTTTGGCTGACATAGTCCCTGCAGCACCCATAAAAGAATAATCAACTCTTGAGGCATAACTCATGAATGTACGATGATGGCATATTTTCAGTTTTGGATTTTTGCCTGTTTGCAGCGTATCCTACTGCTGCCCCTTGCAGTGAGACTGCCCTCACAGGTGAAATGTCTCCAGACTGCTCCAGTATTGATCATGCCCATGAAAGAGGAACATATCTTTGTAGAAAGAGAGAATGTTTCTGTGAAGGTGAAATAAAGCAAATGAGACATAGTAAGTTTGTGATTTTAACACAGAATCCCTTGGCAAATATGTATCAAAGGTCTTTTTGCTGTAAAGAAGGCTTGGGTTGAATAGGGCTGATCTGCGGGCCGCAGTGGGAGTCAGGTTGTTTTGGAGCAGCATACCACATATAGAGCATTGTAGAATTATGCTGTTTACTGGCAACATTTTACTGAAATGATTCCTTCCCTAATCTGAAAATTTGTTTTCCGTCCAGGATTTTACTGTATTTGGAGGTAGTTTATCTGGAGCTCATGCCCAGAAGATCTGCAAGGTAATACTTTACAGGAGAAGATAAACCAAAAAATTGTCAGTGTCCTGTTTTTTCAATGTGTTTTGTTAATGACTTCGGAGAAAATGATTTGTGACTGACTTCAGTGGACTTGCATATGTCATGGCAGCCTGAAAATGCGTCTTCTCATGTCAGTTAAGATGCGAAAGCATAGGTGAGCAGGGAGATACCTTTTGGGAGCTTTTCCAAGTAATACTCACTTTATTTAAATTAAGTTGCCTTTTCTACTGTGCTACAAAAGACAAGAGACTTGAAAGGTACAAATATAAATTAACTAGCTATTGTCTACTGGAGAGATGTGAAATGACTTGGGAGAAACTTTATCCTATGAACAGTGCTATGTGGAAGTAATATTGTAATATTTTACAACTTGGAGGTCACCTTGATACTCAGAGCTTCTATCATCAGGCTCTTGTGGCTATTTATTCTTACTTGTTTGCTTGTCTCACTGGAAAAGCTGGTGTTTGAATCCCAGGGGTGAGGAGGACAAGAACTTTTTCATGCGGGAGTGTTCAGTGGTGTGGGCTGGTGAAAACTTCCTGAATTTTCTTGCTAGGGAATCAGAAACAAATTTTTTGGTGTGCAAGGCCTTGTCTCCTGATGGAAAGAACTATTTTTTGGCATAAACTCCTCAGCAGTGAGGAGGTATAAAACTAGAAACCACAAAGACTTTGGGCTGGATAATAACTGCTTGGCTTTACCAGGCATTGATACTGGGAAAGACTTGGTATTACCCTGTTAGATTGGAGCTTTGCAGTGTCTCTTGGTATTAGGAAGGAATGGAATGGTGCTGGAATCCTGGGATGCTTTCTGCTGTTTCTTTGATCTCTTCTTTCTAAAGAGGCAAGGAGAATGCTGGTAGCAGAACTGGAAAACAATGCAAGTCCTTCCTAGTTGGTACTGTTCTTGGTTGGCATCAAAGTCAGTGGTGGACTCCAGAGGCTGAAGGCTCTGGATGCACCAGTTGCTTTGAGTGTCAGAATCTTTGAGGCTGCAGCCTGGGCAGCTCAAAAAAGACTGGCTGGGTGTCTGTCTCACTGTGGGATCTATCTCACTTCTCTTAGTTTTTATTGGGCTGAATTCTGGGAGGTGAAATCTGTTCTGAGAGAGACAATCTTGGCTCCTGCAGACCTTGTCAGTGGCTTAAGGGATGTAAAATGCCATGGAACATGGAAATGAAGTTGCTCTCCCTTAGCTGGACTTCCCTGGAGATTTGCCCCTTTGGCGGTAATTGTTTCCCATTTGGGATTTTTGCTTGGAGATGTGGAGAGCTGTAGTAACATTTGGCATCTTGCAGCAAAGCTTCGAGTTAGGTAGGTCTGGGCTACGGTTTGCCTGTTCCTTTTGCAGAATAGCCTTGTGGTCTTTCATTTCACTAAATGCCTGTAGTGGTTTCCCTGAAGCAGCAGAGATTTAATGTAGCTCGTTTGAGTAGTAGGTGCCCACTTGTGGTGGGGAACACTTTAAAGCCTACGTACTTATATCTGTGATGTCATGTTTCAAGACAGTTTTTGAGTCCATGAGATGAAGAAAAGTGGTTTTGAGAATCAATCCTGGAATGTTCCCTACAAACACTGATATGGCTGAAAGAAAGGCTGGTCTCAAATACGTGAATACATTTTCTGTAGTCTGAATGTGCATATTGATGTGTGTTTTAGGAAGAACTTAAGTATCTGGAAAAGCCTTGAAATAAATAATGAATCCATATGTAAGTCCCTGGAAAACAGCAAAATGTGTCAGTGACCTGTCCTGATAGGATAGCAGGCCTTCCAGGCAGCAGCAATGAATGTCAGCTCCACTGATTTTTAATAAGGCATTTGATGTTTCCTTGTGTAACATTCACATAAGCAAACGAGGCCACTCATGCTCACAGCCTCTCTTTGCAGTCCACGCAGATGCTTTTTAAATCTGGGATTGTATTTAAGTTTCAAAGTCATTCTGTGTGTCTGCCACAGTAATATTTCTTAAATGGACACCCAGGCAGAAAGCATGAAGAACCCCTGTTTTACACTGAATGACTGCAAGTAGGAACGAAGCCAGTACCAAAGTGGCTAACATGGATTCGTGTTCAGGCTGGAATTTTGGCACTGCTGAGATACTGTTGGTTTGAAGGGGACTGAGTATGCTTACTGTGTTTCTAGGCAATGTAAAATTCAAGGTTTATGCTGCACTCTGAAAGACAGGACTGAACTTTCAAAAATCCTAAGAAGTTAAAAGATTGTCTGGAAAAAAAAGATACAATTCAGTAACAATGATTGAAAGGGCTAATACCAGGCAGGGGAAGCAACTTTGAGATTTGAAATGGGGATTGACTGACAGCATGCAGTTTTACAGAAAATTATTTAGGAGCTAAAGCAAATCTTAACATAATATGCCTGTGCTGTAGTGTTATGAAAATGCTCAACATCTTACTGGGATCTAATAAGCGAGAGTATTTCATGCAAGCAATGTAAGGAATTCAGTCCTCCCACTTAAGCCTCTGCTGGAGTGTTACATATGATCTTGAGGCAAGTAACCAAAATGATCAGAAATGTGGAAAACAGGATGTAGGAAGAGCAGTGTGACTGAATTGATGATGCTTAGTCTAGAAACATGAAGGGAAATGTGAAGACCGAAGGGAGAATTGAGATAATTGAATGTTAATGAAGGCATAGGCAAAGAAGTAGTTAATTGCCCTCCTTGTCTACTATATATCAAGAAAGAAGTAATGTTTCTAAATTTCTAGAGGAAAGATTTAGTTTAGTCTTCTCAGAGAATCTCTGAGAAGGATAATCAAGCATTAGTGTGCTTAGGGAGATTACACAATCACCACTGCAATAAACTTTTAAGATCAGATTAGATGTATATGAGGGAGTGTTGAAGGTGCAGTTGAGACTTCCTAAGAACAGAGATAGATTGGACCTCTTAGGTCCAAACTCCTGTGATTGTGTTCTTTAGCATGGGGTTTGGATACCGCGCTGTGAGTATGGAGATGCGCAGCTAGTAAGGCAGCTTGATATTAAAGGTCATGAGAGGGATTAAATGTGTATCTTTTAGCCTCCAGGCTGAAGAGTCCAAACATGATACCCCAGTAAGCAGTTAGTGACTGTGATAGTTAATACAAACAAAGGAGAAGCTGAGCGCTATGTGGGCAGTACATGCCAGTTCAAATTCTGGCGTGTACAGGTTTTTTCTAGGGAATGTATGTTTTGGAGGTTGGTTGCTTTGGGATTTTAGCTTAGCTAGGTCAATAATAAGGAGTTTATATTCATCATCAGGTTATGGATCAAGCTGCCCTGGTTGGAGCACCCGTGATTGGGCTGAATGACTCTGGGGGAGCCCGTATCCAGGAGGGAGTGGAGTCCTTGGCAGGCTATGCTGATATATTTTTGGTAAGTAGGCTGCTGGATGACCAGGAAGCTTGGCATCCACAAAGATGGACATAGTCTTTCTTTACTTAAGCCTGTGTTTGTAAGTAAATTTGTACATTATCATCATCCTGTTTCAGCCAGTGTTACGTGGTGCATAAAGCAGTGTATGTGAAGACTTGAGAGACCTGTACTGTCCTCTTGGTTCTCTTAATGTCTTTGGGCAAATTACTGTACCTCTTATTTCCATTTACCCATCTGTTAAATGAGGGTAATGCTGAGCCTTGTAAAACACTGTGATCCAGTGAAAAGCTCTGTAGGAATTGCACTGTATAGTGAGCTTTGTCATAAGAATGAAACAGTAGGCAATTTACTTAATTGGAAGAAAACCTCAAACAACTATTTAACTTTCTGATTCACACTGAAGTGTAGATTGTCTGTGTTGGGATGTAATTTCTCTTGGGTGTTTGTCTGAGACAGGTGGGCATGCTATAGTTCAGAGAGTGTTTTGTTAGGGGACTGATGATTGTGATCCACCACCAGCTGTCTCTGTGTCTCCTCTGAAATACAGACATGTTAAGAATTTCACACAGCAGATTTCTTTTCAATAGGGCTGATGAAAGGTGAAAGATTTCTACTGCAGGAAGAGGGACTTAAAGTAAATCAAACACTATGCACTTGAAAAAAACTCGAGAAACTCAGATCAGAAGCACCAAGTGCCTGTTCTGTCAAGGTGGTAGGTCATTGGGGAGAAAAAAAGGAAGAAAAGATGCAAGTCAGAGGTTTCTGTTCAAAGAACAGTATGCAGTACAATGTTAATCTCGCTGTTTGGGGACATCCAATACTGATTGGACTGGTGGAAGTTTTATGTTTCTACAGTATTTTTGTGGCTAATGCAAGAATTTTTCCTTTAGACACGCTAGTGATGTTTTTGTAACTGAAATGACATTATTTTATATGCCTACCGAAACACACAGTTTTATAGTAAGCACACAAAACATAAATGTGATTGTGCTTTCAGTGGGAATGTGAGCCAGTGGGATGACAAATTAGATGCTAACAGTCTTTTGGATTAGTGTGATCTGGGATGATGTGGTTGAACAGTTACAGAAGTCAGTTGTAATCCAGTTGAAGCTTACTTCTGCCTCTGAGCAATAGCCTACCTACATGTTCAAATTTCAGGTACATACACTTCTCACCACTCCAGGCTCAGTGAAATTTTTGCCCCTGCAGCATCTGTTGAGGTCGCACATTCCATCTTCCTTTGCAGTCATTGCATGGTGTATGAAATCAAATGCATGGGAACAGAAAGAAGCAGAACATTAGCAACAAAATTATTTTGGTTCTATTTGCATCAAGACATTCTGTCCAGATATTTGTCTTCCAGTAAATACAGCAAACTGTCCTCTCCCATTTGTGAATTTTTGCAAAATCTCAGAATGGTGGGGGTTGGAAGGGACCTCGGGAGATCATCCAGTCCAACCCCCCTGCCAAAGCAGGTTCCCTACAGCAGGTTGCACAGGAAAGTGTCCAGGTGGGTTTTGAACATGTCCAGAGATGGAGACTCCACAGCCTCTCTGGGCAGCCTGTCCCAGGGCTCCCACACCCTCACAGTAAAGAAGTTTTTCCTTATGTTTGTCTGAAACTCCCAGTGTTCCAGTTTGTGCCCATTGCCCCTTGTCCTGTCACTGGGCACCACTGAAAAGAGCCCAGCCCCATCCATTTGGCCACCACATTTCAGATATTTATAGATGTTGATAAGATGCATAGACTTAAAGATGTACTTTTTTGGTAAAACTAGATGTCTGTCTGTTCTATTGCAGAGAAATGTTCTGTGTTCTGGGGTGGTTCCGCAGATCTCCCTCATTATGGGTCCTTGTGCTGGTGGAGCTGTGTATTCACCTGCTTTAACTGATTTCACATTCATGGTGAAGGTAAGGGTGGAGTATATCCTCACCTGCTGCTGGTAACATTGGTCACACAAACTTACCCTACATATGAAGAATTTTTTAATTTTTTTTTAAGGTGGTATCCTGCTTTAGATTAAGTTTATTTTTAATGAAAAGTCAAGAAAACCTTTCTCAAATAACTTCTGGATAATTGTATTTTCTGTGGGTTTTTTAATATAATGCATTAAGGATTTTTAAGAGATCTGTCCCTATATTCTACTGTTTTATTATTTTGGGGAAAGTCTCTAGACTAGAGACTGTGGCTTTTCCTTAGGTGCTTTTGCAGCTTGGGTCTAGCGTTTACTGTGTGGTTTTGCTTTTTTCTCCTCCCTCAGGATACATCCTATCTATTCATCACTGGCCCAGATGTAGTTAAGTCTGTCACCAATGAAGATGTCACCCAAGAGCAGCTTGGGGGTGCGAAGACGCACACTGCCATATCTGGTGAGTAGTTCACTAACATGCTGACTGCTCTTTAAAGTAAATGACATTGTTTTTCTAGCTAAACAGCTGATTGTCTAATGCTGATTTTTGCACTCGTGAGCGTCACTTGAGTCTAAGTGATAAAACTCTACTTAAGCACAGGATCTTGCTCTGTGTAGGGCTCTCTTCCTGGTCTTTTTTAGTAATGGAGAACAAAATAGGAAAAGTGGGAGTGTGGGAGAGTTCTGGGATTTGGAAGAGAAAGTAGCAAATCCCCAACAGAGTCCAGAAGTGGGAAGGTTGTCAGAGAGCAGGACTTAGCAAAGCAGGCTTGGGGTGTTGTGGGTTTTTTTGTTTGTTGTCCAGAAATTTGCATGGGTTGAAAGATTCTTAACAATCCCTTGTTTGCTTACTAACATGATTGATTGAACTTTTTAACTATAAACTGAGTGGCAATGTGAGATGAAGCATTTTGGGTTTTTTTCCCCCCCCTTCTGGGAAAACTTTGAATCTCCTTGAGGTTCAAAATGACTGTGGGATCTCAAATTCTATCTGAACTGAACTGATGAGGAACCAAAACCACACACACAGACACTGCTCAGATCCAGCCTTCGTAGAAGAACTTGTAGTCCAATGCTGGAGCGCAGCACAGTAACCTGGATTGAATTCCAGAAGGCTGGGATCCAGCTGGGTCTGTGACAGCTGATAAACCAGTTTACATTATTTTAAATATGAGAGCAACAATCCAGACCCGTTAAGGAGGAAGTATGATACAGCCACACATTTTCTAGATATTTTTAACTGGTCAAATTCAGTGACTTAAAACTCCTGATTGTTAACAGCTTGGGTTTAAAAATTCTTGCTGTTACTTCTTTGTATCTTTATTGGTACATGCTTGAGAATGAAACCCTGCAAGATTTTTTCAATAACCGTTTAACTGTTTCTTTCCAGGAGTTGCACACAGAGCCTTTGAGAACGATATAGATGCTTTACTTAATCTCCGAGAGTTCTTTAATTATTTACCTCTTAGCAACCGTGATCCAGCTCCTGTCTGTGAATGCCATGATCCCAGGTAAGAGGAGACTGCCTGAGATCTGTGGTTTCTGACCACCGAATTGCTTGGCTTCTCTGGCTTCAGGAGCTTAGAGGGCTGAGTGGTTTGTGCCTGGGATCTTGGCTGATAATTGTGCATTGTGGTGTGTGAATATGGGAAGTCTTTCAACATGCATGTGTACATAGGTACACGCTCACTGGTAGATTTATTTTGTTTATTTTCTGAAAGCAATGTTATACAGGCTGTGTACAGACTATGGGGAAAAGTAATCTCTGTACAGATGGGCTGCCACAGTCCCGTGAAACAAGCAAACGAGGCAGAAGATAGCACAGTGAACAAAAGTGGGGAGAACTTGCCCCGCTTTGTCAGTTATGTGTCTGGTGGGTAAGTCCTGTTTGTTAAGGCTAGAGGTGGGGAAGCAACAAGGAGGTAAAGGAGGCCGCAAGTTTTATGTATTGGGTACTTGTCTCTCAGGCTCATTGTGTTGTTGGCAACGTAACGAAGGACGTGGGTCATTTCAAGAGGGGAAAAACGGCAACTGTCTGGACTTTTATCAGAGAATTTTTCCAAGAGATAGCCAGAGGGACAGCCAGAGTGCCAGCATGGGACTGTTTGAGTAAACAGCCTCACTAGTAGTGTTAAAGACAGAGAATGTCAGTGGAGTAAAAGCATTTTGACCTGAGATCCAGTTGCATCCCCAGTTCAGCCCTTTCTGTAGGGCACCCAAGAGGTTGTCGCCCCCTCCTGTATGGGAGCTGCTCCCGAGTGTTCCTTTCGGTTCTATGACTGCATGTGATCTATGTTTTGTGTCCTTACATGCATGACAGTTTTAACATGTGGGTCGGGAAGGCTATCTTCTCTTCATGCTTCACTGCAGTGTCTTTGAAACAAATTTCTTTGGGGAGGATTTTTTTAGATCAGTTTTACAGATCACTGCTCTGGTACCTGAAATACAGTGTTCGCTATTAGAGAAACAAATTTGACAATTGCTTTTAGAGAATGGTCACACAGGTCAATTAGTTACTGGTCCTAATTTTTTCTAAGGTGTTGATCTTTAGGAGTTTATTAAACTGGAAGACTGGTCTGATTTGATAGTGACAAACCAAACCTCTTCCATTATTTGGTATATTTAGGGGATTATCTCTGAGGTTATCATGTTCTTTCTAAGCATTCAACAAGTTGTACTGGGATAATTACCCTCTATAGAATCGAATGTGGTACTTTAATTTCATTATAGAAACAACAGTTTTGTTTTTGTTTTTTTTTTTTTAAATCAATGTACCTTATAATAGGCAGTTTATTTTCTTGGGAGAAACTGTCAGTTACATTTCAGCTACTAACGTAGAAGAGATTAGTTCTTTATTTTCTTAAGGGAGACAATATTTTACATGGCACCAGATACATTATTAGAGGATCACAGTATAATAAATGCTCAGCAATTTGTACTAAGAAGTTCAATTTAGTAGTCTTTGTACATGTGAAGACAGATCTATTTGTTACATTTGCCTGTTTTTATAGCAGAATCTGAGATATTTCTCCCATTTGTCGTCTTAATGCTTACATTGGTATTATTTCATCTGGACATGCCGACATCTTAATAGACTCCTTTTGCTTTGAAATGTTTGATCTTTACTGCTGCTCCAGTCAAAGCCCATTCTTCTAGAGTAATTTCTTACTGCCTCATTGTCACACCACAAAAAATTGCCACAAATAATGCAAATTAAGTGTAGCATTCTTTTGTCTTTGTTTTTAAGTCCAGAAGCTGGTGGGTTTTGTTGTTTTGCCTGTTGGGTTTTTTTTGTCTAGGTGGGTAGGTGCTTTGTGGTCTTGGTTGCTGAAACTACTGTCACTTGAGGTTTTTGACATCAGTGTCCTGATTTCTAAAGAGTGAGAAGGTTCCTTATAGTACAAGTGGTGAACCTGTTCTCTACCTTTGAAGGGTGTCTAGTTCATTGTGTTTGGTGTATTGTATGGTGTGATTGTACCTTTATGTATCTTTGACTATAGACAAATTCTGTTTTCTCTGAAGCCTGAAGTATGCATACAGATTTCTGGAGAAAGTTCTTGGTAGCCGAGTACAGTTTCCCTTTTGCATTAAATGAAAACCAGTATTGATCTGGGTGAGAGTGTCTCAAGCCGTCGCAGGCTTCGGATGAGTGCTTTGATGATGAGCAGCAGTTCCTTCCTGATAAGTGGGATCTGTAAGAAACCCAGTTCTCAACCTCTTCAGCCCAGTAACTCTACTAGCAAGCTTCAGATATGTTATGTGTGGTAATTTGTCAGAGATTTTGAAACTTGTGATATCCTGGGTAATGTCTTCGTTTTTATGGTCGTTACTCTTTTTAATGCTGTTATAATTTCCCTCAGTACTCTCTAGCACTATGAATTTATGGGAGCAGTAATTTCATTTTTCTGCTTCCCTTATCCTTTGGGATGCCACAGGTAATGGACAGAATTTATCTGCTCTATGGACAAGAAAAAGATTTACAATTTTTTGTAGCCTGGGATTTAGTATGTTAAAATTGGTTACTTTCATCAGCTTAAGGTTTCATTATGTCATTGTATGGAAATATTTGCATGTGATACTCTTAATCGTGTGGAAAAAATACTCAAAGTGTTGCTGTTGGTTTTATTCTATTAATAGATGTATCTCTTCCTCTCTCAGCAAGGAGACATGCCTCTCTAGCCTTGTGTGTGTGAGGGAGCACAGAGGCAACCTGGGGCTTGCATTATTAATTTTTGCCTGATTTTTGACAAACTGCAGATCACTTCTTTCAGTTTTAAATCGGGTGTCTAGTGCCTTGTGTTGTCTTGCTTTAAATATATTAAATCACAGCATTGTTAAAATAGTAATTCAGTAAGAACTACACAGAAACACCATTTACAACAAGGATAGGTCAGTATTTTTATGGAATAGCACAAATAAAATACTCCCTGAAGCTGCCTCAGTGGTGACTCATGAAAACTGACACCCCCCCATTGGGACTGTGAATGAATCTAAGGACTCAGAGAATGCTCACGCTGTAGGTCCTTAATGAAGCTAATATCGTGCAAGATAGAGGTAGCCGATAGTGTCAGCTGCTGACAGGGAGGCAGCGGGTTTATTACATGTAAAGCTCCACATGAAGTGTGTCACTGTTGAGTTAAGCAGAGTAACAGCAAAGATTGTTTAAACACAGCCATGCAGCTGAAGAAGCTGAGAGCAGATGTGTTTTCCCCACCCATGAACCTCTGCTTGTTTGGTGACAGGGGAAGTAAGTATGGAAAGGTTTCCTGCAGTTAAGTGTGTTCAAAATTACAAGTGGACAGGGTGGGCAGGGAAAGGACCAGAGCTGTAAATGTGCAGTTGGTCCAATACATGACAGGAAACCTTGCTCTGCTCTTGGGAAAAACTATTCAGCCTGTCCAGCTGCAAGGACGGAGCCGTTGGCTGAGCAGGCTGTGCTGCTGCTGCTGCTGTTTGACATTTGTTCTTCCTTTTCCCCACGGCTGAGTTGTGCCCCAGCGCAGTGTCCCACACACCACCAGTGCCCCTACAGACTGACATTCCAGCGCTCCCCTGCCTCTCCACTTCCCCCTCAACACTCCACATCTGTCACGTGAGGCTTCTCCAGTCCAAGAGGAGAAATCATCTTTCCAGGAGATGGTTTCATGAGCAGAGGTGTCTATAGAAGCCAAGTCCCCCTCCAGGAAGAGACTGGTTAGCCTTTGACCTCCTGGTGCATGTGGGCTTGATGGCCTGAGGCACAACTGGCTGAGACCAAGAGGCCTCTTTTCTTTTCCCCATATTTGAGAAGCAGCTTCCATGACGTCTCAGAGAGGTGGAATTGTTTACCTGAGTTCTTGGTCTTGATGTTCACCTGGTCTGTAAATACTGTTGCTCACACTTCCTTATTTTCTGCAGCGACCGTTTGGTTCCTGAGCTGGACTCAGTTGTCCCAACTGAATCTACTAAAGCCTACGATATGCTGGATATCATACACTCTGTAAGTCTGCTCCTGTGAGCACTGCTGAGATTAATACGGTATATTATATTCTGTGTGTAAATAACTGAAAGAAACCAATAGAATGGCACTAAAGACATATTTTTTTGGTCTTTACAAGTTACTGTTTTTACCTGTGTAGTAGCCATGAATGAAGGGACAACAAAAACTGCAGAAAAAAGATTGTAGCAGATGAAAGGAATCCTAAGATTTGTTTTCAGGATACATCTTACGCTGCAGCATAACTGCACAGAAGAAAGATGCTGTAATTCAGTTTTCTTTCTGGGGTTGAAATCCCCTCCCCTTTGTCTTGAGTTCTATCACTTGTCCCCTCCCTGCCTCCTGTTATTACTGTCTTGAATTCTGCACTTTTTAATAAAATAAACTACATAGAGTGCATTCAAAGATTTACCCAGCTCTTTTGTGTGCTAAGAGACAGTTACTACACAGACAGTACAAGACTATATTTTTTTAATTACAAGTCAAGCACTCAGAAGTTTGGAAACTCCAATGTTGAGGTTCAAGTGAGGCAGAGCTCCTGGGAGGGTGGCAGGGAAGAAAACACCTTACCTGTTTTTTAAAAAACCTGAAAGCCAATATTCCAATGTATAAATAACAGGCAGTGCTGGTAATTCTCTTGCATAACTTTGAATACTTCACTTTTCCAGTTTTAACAATTTAATATGTTATAGACTCCTGGGCAGAGAACATGGTTGTAAAAGAAATTTTATCACAGGAAACTGTTAGAGCCCCTGTAGAATGCTCTGAGAGTCTGAATTTTAAATATTAAAATTTCCAGCTGCTGCTTCTACCACTCAGATGTTGAATGGCAGATGACCTGGGGTTCTGAGGTGGATGATGAAGCTCAGAGTAACTCCCTTTCACAGGCACACATACAAATGGGAGGGGGGAGTTCAGCTGTGTTTGTAGGACCTTTACAGATTTCTCCCTTTTGCTATTTTATTTGTCTGTCCTCCCCACATGCTCATTCACCTAACACGTTTCAGTTTGCAAGTGGCCGTGTTTCACTCATTTTAAAGGAGGAAGCAAGCTCAGGATGGTTCTAATCTCTGGATTCTTACATTCTGGATTTTACTGCTACCTGCTCCAAGTTAAAAGGTGACATTTAAAAAAAATTATTAAGTGAATTAGGAAAAAAACCCAAACCCTCCCACAGACTTTAAGAAGTATTAAGGAAAGAAATAAAACTGCTTTAATAATACTTATATTTTTCACAAATTTTCATTTGCCTCAGTGTCAGAAATGACTGGCAAACTGCAGCCTGTATGGGCAAAGTTGTCATAAAAAGTTGAAAACAAGGGATTCTAGCAGAAAACGCTAGGCAGCCATGTATAGGTGTCGCTACTGCTCCATGTATAATTATGATCTCTTTTGAACATGTGAATTTTGATACGGCATTATACACCAGTGGGTGTTATTTTGCAGAGTACACACTGGAACTTCAGCCCCAAGAGAAGTGCAGCTACTAAGGACTGGTGGCTCCGGACAGATGGTTTGGTGTAGGGCCTGTGTTCCTCTCCTGCAGATACAAGGGCTTCTCTGTTGTCCTCTCTGTCAGTGACTTTGGAGGAGGTGTGCACAGCAGAGCGGGCTGTATGGCCTCTGATGATGTGCTCTGAACTTGCTAAGAAAGAGGATCTGTTAAACCTGTCATGGAGAGTTTCTGAGCTTCACCAAGTACTATTTTCAGCACTCAAAACTGTTCTTTAAAAGTGTAGCCTGCCAATAATTAAGTTGTGAGAAAGAAGTTCTTAGCATCTGATTTGAAGTTTTAATTTGTTAGAAGCTAGGAAGAAAGGCTCACTACAGAGGAAATGTCGTAAGGATGGTCTCTGATGGAGTACTTAAGTGGCAGTTCTGATAGTTAAGTGCAGTATTAGTTACTTCCTGGAATGAAGGCTGCAAAGAAGAATAAAAGGTTTCTAGGTTTCTTCCTTCCTTTTTTTTTTTTTTTTTTTTTTTTTAAATTCTTAAATGTTTTAAAACCAGTTTTGATACTAAGATAACCACTGTGTGTTTGCCTGTGTATATCAATAGACATCTCTGTATCTGTCCTCATAAGGGCTCTGCCCAACTCTCACCCTTGCAGATTGCTGATGAAAGGGAATTCTTTGAGATCATGCCTTTCTATGCCAGAAACATTGTCGTTGGGTTTGCCAGGATGAATGGACGAACCGTTGGGATAGTGGGCAACCAACCCAAAGTAGCATCAGGTTAGAGAGTTGAGTGTGAAAGTTTTTAACGGTGTTTGTGCCTCTTCTCTGTCTTTTTTTTTTTTTTTTCCAGGTTTCCTAAGGGTGCCTGGCTGTGAGATGAACTGTTTCTGTTTTCCTATGGTCCTCCACTCATTCTCACTATGTTTTTCTACCACTTTGTCTTGAATCTCATTGTAATACAGCTGTGACATGTTAAAACTAACAGAAAATCAGTCTTTAGTGGATCAACAAGGTGGTCTTGCTTAGGGGTAACTAAATGACTGCTGTGGCCAGCACAAATGGAGTGGTAGGAGCCCATGGGCAGGGTGGGGAGAAGGCCACCACTGCTTACTTGGCAGCAGCCTGCAACTAACTGGGTTAAACATTATACGGAAACTGCGTACTTAGTGCCACAGCACTAAAATGCCTAAAACTCTTCTCCAGGGTGAGGTAATTTTTTTTTCTGTGTGTGTGTGTGTGTGTGTCAACTTGTTATAGCTAGAACAATGCAAAGCTTTCAGACACACAGGTGTGGGGCTCAACCTGAAATGATTTAGATAAGAAGATACAATATGGAGCTGTAGCTAAGATCACCCTTTTTAACTTTCAAGGGATTTTTCTTTCTCTCCTTAAATAGGCAACTTCTGAAGTGACTTTCACCAACAGAACTTTGTTTTGCTTCTTTTTTTTAATTTTTGTGGCTTTTTGTTTGGAAAAATCAGATAACCCAGTATGATGTTTTATTCTTTTGTAATCTTTACAAGATATTACTATCACGATCTAGACAGGTTTTAAGATTACTTTAGTCTTCATTTGATATTCTCAATTTTAGCCAAGATTTTTAATGTTTCACATGGATGCTTTTATACAAAATGTATTTTGGTTTAATGTAATAGCATGTATTATAATTCTAAATGGCACTGAAACAGAACAGAAATACTTTGCAGTGTGTTCACTAAAAATGCTGATCTTTCTCAACATAGTAGACCATTTAATGTGTTTAGGGTTGTTTTGTTTTAATGGAGAACTCTGTAGTCTTTCAATATGACTGATCTGGAAAATATAATTAAAGAGCAAATTACAGGAAAATATGTTAAATTACAAGAATAGAATTAATTTAAACTGCTACCTTTTGGGACAGAAAGTCTCTACATGCAGCGGTCAGGAAAATGAAATGAGTGCCTGTTGAATGTGGCTTGTACTCTCATCTCCTAAACCAGCAAAACTTCTGGGCAGATTATCTCCATGTTAACTACAAATGAACTTTTGTTTTATTCTAAGAAGATAGTGCAGCTAAAATAGAGTGTGATTTTGATGTTGCCTTGAATTACTGCTGTGAGCAGATAACTGGAATGATTAACACATCACCCTGTTTTCTTAACTTTAGGGTGCTTAGACATAAATTCTTCTGTGAAAGGAGCCCGTTTTGTTCGTTTCTGTGATGCTTTCAACATACCTCTGATTACTTTTGTGGATGTTCCTGGATTTTTGCCAGGTAGGCTTTGCTGTTATATTTCAGCTCCTTGCAGGGGGCAGTGGTGTTAAAAAGTCATTTTAAAAACTCTGTGAGAAGACCTTTACTGTAGTAGATATAAATAAGCCAGGTTTTAAAATGCCACTTTTTTGGGGGGACAGAAACTCTGTAAAAAGTACAGTAGTCATCACAAAAAAATACTGAAATACGCAAGAAACTGTGGGGAAATGAGCTAAGTGCCCAACTATGCCACTGACATTGCTGTCGGTGTGTTCTGAGATCACAAAGCTTCACTGAGGAGGGGGCAGGTCCAGGCGGTAAGTTGATGCTGAAGCGTTCAGCAGTCTGATGTGAGGCCGAGATGACCCATTTGCCAGGGCCCAGCATGGTTGTATCACGCTCTGGAAAGCTGTGTCCGGCTGCTTGGAATCCCAGCACAACTGCAAGGCTGGGATTGTCACCTCTGTCCGAGAAAAAAACCTGTATTCCCTGGAGATGCTGCCCTTGTCGTAAATGGTATGGAAGCTACGCTATTTTCCTTATTACAGTGAGACTCCATGGCCCTTTAAATGTTCAGCTGCCTTATTTGGATGCTTTAGGTAAAAAAAAATATATATATTTAGATGTTTTAGATAAAACATTTCTATGCCTGTATGCTGGATAGCAGGGTAGCGTGGTAGAAGGCCTGCAAAGACTGTGGCTTCCTGAGGGGCAGTGGAGAGCAGTAGTCCAACGTGCAGTTTCTGAGCCCTCTGGACAGGGTTGCATGAGAGTGCAGCACTGATGCTTCTCCTGTGGGCAGGGAGGCCACTGGTCAAAGTGGCACTAGGAGTGGCAGTTGAGGGCACCGTGGAGATGCATTCCAACAAAATCTGCTCGTCCCTGGAGTTACTGAATATAGGCCCATGGTGCTATCCAAGCTTTGCTGCAGCAAGAGTCTCCCTCGTCTGCCAGCTTCATCTGCTGTATTTAGTGCCCAAATATGTACAAGGATGAAGCTATAAGTGGAAAAAAAAGTATGGTCTTGGTTGCCATTGCTTCAGTTACACACAGACCCTGTCCCTGTATCTTTGAGAGCTTAGATTCTTTCATGCTCCAAGGCATTTCTCAGATAAAAATGCTCATGATTTGGAAGCTTTGGGTAAATCAGTAAGGAAAGGTCTGAGATCAGACTTTTTTTCAGCATAGGCTATATGAGCAGTTAATGTTAAAATGACCAATTAGAAAACAGGTTCTGTGAGGAATACAAATATTACACTGATCAACATGATAAGGCTTTCATATAATTGACTATAAGGTTAAAACTGTTGTATAAAATAAAATTTACCTCAAGGCCTCTACAGATATCGAAGCGTCAAAATGTCACTAGTCAACATTCCAGTTCTTAGTTTAGTACCATGTGTTTGGCATGTTTTAACATGAGGCAATACAGAAAGCGTGAACAGAACCTTCCTCTTGCCTCTCAGCCTCTTGCCTTTCTCTCCTGCTGTAGACACCCCCTCCTCATCTGACCTGGACCAAGAAGTAGCTTAGTTCACTTCAGGGGCCACTACGGCATTCTGGATTCGGACGGTTGCTCAGACTCCAAGAACAAAGCTATTTCCATACAGCCAATGAAAAGTAGTAACTCGATATTGCAGAGTAGAATATTGGTTTGAATGTAGATAAATGGGAGATAAATAAAAATAGAGAAAGGTAAAGAGAGGAGATCTGAGGCTCAACAGTGATCCTAAACTGTTGTATTTTAAGGAGTTTGGCAAGATTAGTCCATTAGCATTAGAAACTTGAGTTTAAGTAGTAACTTCTGAAGGTGTTGATCACCTCATTTCCCTGGAAAGAATCCATCACACCGGCTCACAGAGGTGTACAACGCATCTCAGCATCAGTGACCTAAACGCTTCAGACAGCCTGCAGCGCAATAGGTGTGCACAGAGTTGGTGTTTAAGGCATTCATACCCTGTAGCTGGAGAAAAACACGTATTTAGAATAAGTTTGGGGCTGAATCTATGGCCAGAAAAGAGTTGATGTTAATTGGCCATGGGTGACAGTGCAAATAGTTCAAATAACAGTTGAACTGAGCTTAACGCTTGAAGCATTTTCAGTGACTGGCTACTCTGTTAAGTGTGAATTAGAAACTAAGACTGAGACTAGATTAGAGGTTCTCTGAGTGCTCCCCAGCTTCTGGGTCTAGGTTGAGTGTTCCAGCTGTGTTCAGCCTGCTTCATGTAGCTGTTCCGATTTCTGTTGCTGGGAGGGTTCTGCAGGCTTGACATGTCCCGCTGGCTGGAGGGAAATACAAGAACCAAAAGTGAAATTGCAGTTGAGAACAGATGTTTGTAAGTACAGACATAAATTACTAGACACTTAATTTACATTTGAGGGGAAGCATTAAAGTCAAGCCACCAAACAGACTACCAAATAAGTTATTTAAAAAAAAAAAAATCCTCAGAAAATAATTTTTACTTAAAATATTACATAAAAAAAATATCCATTAAAAAGATACCAAAATACTCTTTAAGAGGTTATCTCAGGTGCTGAAAGCAAAAGTCAGTAGGTGGAGAAACTGCTTGAAAGTGACTGTAGGGTTATATCCAGTGGTGTGAAATTCAGAAATCCTAGAAGTAATTTACATGGGACTGCCACTTCCAAATCAAGTCGGCTAGGCCTGTGTTTGGGACAAAACTGTGTTGAACACCCTGTAATGTGGATGACTTGTATCTGCTTCGTATGACCATGCTCCAGAAGCACCTGCTGTTGAGAATCCTTGAGAATCATATGTTGTCTTTTACGGTCCAGCATCTTGGGCTTGTGTGAAGGAAGGCTAGGATAGGTCTCTGGTCTGGTAGCCACGCTGCCTTTCAGTATGGGCTAGAAAAAAGGGGTTTGGAAGAGTGTGTTTCTGGGGAAGTGAATCTAGGTTGTGTTTTCCACTGCTAGTCGCACTTGGAGTCTTGAAAATGATGTAACTGTGTTTTGTTTCTGGGAAGAGACCATCTGGTGAGTGTTCTGGTTCTGTGACCTTACATACAAATATATGCTGCTTTTGGCAAGAGGTTTTTTTTTCATAGAGTTGCTCACCATCTTACGGAGAACACTGCCAGGATATCACCCTCTCCTGGATATCGATGTCGCTGTGGTTGTTGTTAGGTTTGCTGCCGGTAACGGATGATGACAGTTGCCAAACTGTGTACAGGGTTTTTGTGAATTCCCTGGAGTGAGAAAAACTGTTTGTCATTTGTAGGTACAGCTCAGGAGTATGGTGGAATCATACGTCACGGTGCAAAACTACTGTTTGCCTTTGCAGAAGCAACTGTGCCTAAAATTACTATCATCACCAGAAAGGTAAGTTGGCGCAATTCCACGGTGTTCTTTGAGTTCCTGTTCCTAGTACCAACTCCAGTTATGCAAAGCTTCATCCAGCTGTCCCACTTCTGCTCTCTGTCCTTGTCACATCTCCGTTTGTCCCATCTGGTAACACCTCTTTGTGTCAGGTTACAAGAGGCCATTTCTTCTATTCTCAGGCTATGACCTCAGTTCCTTCATTCCTTTTGTCTCTGAACTCTGCTGCAAATGGCGTGTTTCTGCTCTTTGCTTTCTCCCTGGAATGCCTTTGGTCAAGTGTTTGTCACCCGGTGTGTCTCACTGAGGACAAGCCATCTGTCTGCACACAGCAAATCCTTGAGAGCTTCCCTCTCTGTTCTTGCTGCTTTGCTCTCCTTTTCCAAAACCAGCGCTAACCGTATCCTTCTTCTGCTCTGTCTGCACGTTTAATGACTGCGTGGTTTCTCTTCCATATACTTTTGCTATAGTCTACTTAATCTTTCTCTCTTCCCCCTCCCCCCGTTTTCCCCTTTTGCCCTCCCCGCTCAGTGCCCTCCCCACTCTCTTTTGCTCCTTCTCTCGCCCCCCCGCCCCCTCT